TGTCTCCTCATGGAAAGATTTGGAATCCAAGGTGATAAAAAATAAAAAGGAAAAATTCTTTGAAATTTGAGAGTTTGGAAATTAACTACTACTGAAAATGAAATTCAATAATTGAAAAAACTAGATAATATTCAGAATTCATCCCACATGTGAACAAAAATTTCTACCCTAAATCCATAACTTATCTGTTTTCATATTCAAACTATTACAGACGAATGATTTTCAATTAAAGACTTCGAACATAACTAAAAATGGAAATTGAGATACAATTTATGATGAAAGAATCAATATCCTAAAGGTTACAGAAAATATTGCTAACTATATATACCAAAGCCAATTGTATATAGATAATCAGGAAGTATGCAAACCAAATAGTTCGAAAGCATAACTCATTCAAACAATCACATAAACACTAAGACCCTAGTTTAGAGCATAAATCCTAGTTCATAGGTTGGGACTCCATCAGATTATCCAGAGAAAGACTACTCATTCATGGTAACGTAAACAATACAAGATAAAAATGAAGACATAATTAAATTTAGAGAAATAAAGCATTGAATATTGAATATTGAGTATTGAAAAGATGAAGTTAAATAACAATGCTTTGACTATTGAAAACAAACGAATGGATGATTGCTATAACAATTGAAAGAACATAACTTAAAGAAAGAACACCAACAAAACTCTGAAGAATAATCCTAACACTCTCTAAATGTAGAAAAACAGAGAAAAAGCTAAAGAAAGCCTATCTATAATCCACATAAGGCCTTCTATTTATTGTAATCGAAGGGAGAATCTTCAGATCTTTGAAAGATAAGTCATCCCAAAATTATCTTCTCCTCCGATTGGCTGAGAATTCCCAAAAGATTTGGAAAAATATGATCATTGAGTTCTTCATGAAAATCTACCTTTACCTAATGGTAGTAACTCATTCTGCAACACGACCTACCTATAGAACAGTGAAAACCTACTAGTAGAACTTTGTCTAATATAATATCTGAAACTTTTGTGGATTTTCCTACCGTTAGAACATCATTCATTACTGGTAGGACTTCTTTTGACAAAGTACTTGGACATTTCCTACTGGTATAACATGTTCCACTTACCGGTAGGACATCTTTGATGAAAAAGTATAAACTTTTGTAAGTTTTCCTACCAGTAAAGGTAGGACTTATACAATAATCTTCTGTACTTCACTGATAGAACTAACTTTCTACCAATAGAACCTTCATTTTTTTGCCTTCCTACCGGTAGAATACCTATCAATAGAACTTCAATTTTCTTCAAAATGACTTCCAAGGCTCCCGACTTCACCTTTAATTGAGCAAACTCAATACTAACTTGTCCTATCAATGCTTAATCTCCACCTTTACACCTAAACTACATGCAAACACAAAAATCAAAGCATAAGAAGCAATATGCAGTTGATTACACCCCAAGAATAACGTGGCAGTTGTAGCACAGTTTTGGAGTGTCGATTTCACAGAGAGACAAATTAAAAAAATATTAGAAGGAACAAAGAAACTAAAAAAATATTAAATGATTACTGAATAACACATATTAATTTTAAATACAAATTAAAGTGAGGCAAAGTGACTAACGAAAAAAAATATATTCAAATTTAACAAACAGTAAAGCGTCGGGAATCTCTTGCACAAATCTGATAGTTTAATTATTCTTAATTCATTGAATAACTCAATTAGGAACTCAATTTCCAAAATTTTCAATTGGAAGGTATAAATTTATAAGCCAAGATTAAACCAAATGTAATCCATTGAAAAATCATTCACCACTTTTAAAATACATAAATTATTTTCACTATGGAGAAAATCCAACGACGACAATATACTCAGGAAGCGATATTGCAGCAAAAAATTAAATTAATATAGATAAATAATTGATCCAAACATAATCAAATAGTTAATCCATTCAATAGAAAAAGTCTGACTAAATCTATAAATAGAAAGAATTCTATGATTATTCAAAGAAAAAAATATTGACAATGAATTGAGAATGATAAAACAAAGAGTTTTAGTAATTGAAAATCAAATGCATAAATTAAAAATAAATAAAATATCATCTATTGTGCATGTTTATCCCTCGCCTTACCTAAGAATTTAGTTACCCATAAATATAATAGACAACAAAAATCTCCCAAATAATAGAATAGACTGACGGCCATCGGAATTCTTTTTTGCTCTCTGAACTTCGTCTTCATTCCCAATCAGAATAGCTGCCTCACTGCCTTTTTTTTCTTCCAGCCGCCACACCCCAAAATAAAGAAAAAGCACACTGCTTCGAAGGAGAAGAAAATGTTTATAAGTCAATACCCTTTTTAAAAAAAATCTTTTGCTCCCCTCTTTATTTCAATCTTTCTATTTCTGCCCCTATTTATTCCAACATTTCTATTTTAGCCTCTAAAGCCCAAACTGCGTATATTCGGGAAAGATAAAACCCAATAAAAATTATGAGTGTTGGGCCCAATAGACAGCTACATCAATTTTTGTCTTTTCACTGCATGGGCTGCCATAAAAAAAACAAATATAAAACACGAATAATAAAGTCCCAAAAATATTAAATGTAAAGCCTAATTGTAAAATTATCTCTCACTAACCAATAATGCAATATTTAAGATTAAAATATTATAAAATCATGCTCAAATAGATCTCAGTGTGAATAAATATTACATTCAATAATATAAATTATATATAATTATTTATATTTACATTTAAACATTTTAATCCAATAATAAGGTATTTAGAATACACTTTCGCGCACTTATCAACACTAAATGAAGGAAGTTAGTTTGTTAACAAGCCTAAAACGAATATGTTATAAAATGATGCAATATTGAGCACTCAACAAGCACATCTGGTAGGGTCTACTTGGCACACATGTCTTCGCATAATAGGCCTACCTACTTATGTCCCATTGCCAATAATTCTTATCAACATGATTACAAGAATGATACCCCCCCGTCACCAACAATTCTTATTAACATGATTATTTTCTTACAATTTGAGCATGAAAGTGAAGAGAAATGATTGTTACCTCCATTATAATATCTTTGGTTATCATGAAATTGATGTTGTATTCTTCCTTTTCCTCTAGATGAATATCCACAACCATAGCCCGTGCCACTATGTTTTCTCCCAAAATTTCTAACAAATTTTTTGTAGTTAACTTCTAATTCAAATAGCTACTCTATTGCCTTCTCTACAGCCTTCTGCAGCCTTTTCTTATGTGCTTGAAGAGAACCCATAATTGCTTTAAAGAATAAATTAAGCCATAGGATTCGTCTATAAATGGAAATACATGATCATAATTTGAAGTAAGATTCCTTAACACATTGTCAACCTTTTTCATGTGTTCTAATACGATTCACAATGGAAACAACTCTTGAGGAAAAGTCTTGAACTTTGAAAAATTTTCCAAAGACAAATTCTCAAATTCACAACAAATGGTTTGGATCTTAATTGTAATTACCTTTTGACATAGCTCAACATTCATCTTGAAGCAAACCCCATGCTTTCTTTGATTTAGTGACAATTATGATTCTGAAAATATGGTATCATCCAAGGCTCGTTGAATTTGAACAAGGCCTTTGAATTGTTATCTTTCAATTCATTCCCTTGAGAATGTTTTAATCTTACCTGCTCAACAAAATCTTCATACCGTTTATTTTCTACGTTCTACAAATCATAAGATGTAAATAATGTCTCCGAACTTATTCACTTACACTCTTCTACAACCACTTCACTTTCATTACTATTGTTGTAACTCTCATTGCCTACTTTCAACTCTTAACCCGACTGTAATGCCAATCTGCTACAAAATGCTAGAGGAAAAGGAAGACATTTTAGTCACTATAGAAATTTTATTTAGGCGTGCCTCTAGGTAATCTAATAACACTTAAATAGACAAATCAACAATCTAATTTCTTACTTTACTCGACGTTGTCCAACAAAAGAACAACTTCCTAATATTTAGATGACAACCCCAATCATGTTTAATAACTTACTCAATGACACCTAAAATACTCTAAATATGACCAAGTCTGATTATAATCAACAACCTAAAAACATGGATTCCAATTTGACCAAGTTTGAGTTACATTCAACAGAGAGGTGGTGTGACTGTGTCGGCAATGATTGTTCTAGTAGCAATGATGGTGTCTGTGAGGCGTGGAAGGTAGTGGTGGGGCGTTGATGGTAAAACTGGAGTGTTGATAGTAATGATGGTTGTTATGGTGTGGGTGGCGGGCCACGAAGTGATTTTTTTTGTGTTGGAGTGGTAGTGGTTTAAGAAAAATATATTTAAAAGTTAAACTCATTAGATGTTAATATCCAATTCGTCTTAACTCTATCAATTATTTAATTGATATTAGTGATATACCTATGTCATACGTAATATTTACAACTTTTTTTCTAAACCTTTCCCTTTTCTCCACCTCTATTACTTGGAATGCTGGGTAAAGAATTATAGGAAGTCCTTGGGTGATAAAAATATTAATTTTTTAAAAATTTAAATGGGATTAGTTAATTAGTGGGATAGTTACACTTGATGGTAGAATGTGATTGAATAATATAATATAGAAATTATTATTTAGATTTAATTTGATTACCTTATTTATTGAAGGAATACATCACAATTATTGAATTAACAGTAAAATTTAATTAATGTTAGACTCATTGTTAATACATAAAGTCAACAAATAAGGTACAAATAAACTCGGGTAGTTTCAGGGATTGGCCAAATACCTCGAAGATAAAAAATTTCTTGATAATGAAAAAAAAATGTTTTTTATATTTAATTTAGTGAGACGATGAAATTAGGTAACAGTGCCCTACTGTCGATCTATTAAGGTCCATATAAATGTCTGTAGCATTGCCCGAATGAAAACCCTCCATAAACCCACCTGACTCTCTCTCCCTTTCCCCCACAACTACAGGTCATCCACGCACGCACATACACTACACTCTTGCTCGCTGCAAGCGGAAATGCCGTCGTTTCCTCCACCAGGCTCAGTCACCATATGCGAGATAAATAGAGACCTCAGTATGATTCTCTCTCTCTCTGTGTCTAAAATATGTGTATGTTATGTATACGAACACGAAACCCTTAATTATTAGGTGTCTTAGAAATGTAGCGTTTCCAATTCTCTATCTTACTGTGTACTATTTCTATATTTAATCATTAGTTACCTCTGAGAACCTCTCGGACGATCGAGCTAAAGACACGTACGGAAAAATTCTTGTAAGCCTTCATTTTTTTCGGTATAATTCTTTGTGTGTGAGTTTGCGCGAATACAATAAACATGCACTTTTCGTTGAGAATTTTGAAGATTTAATTACAGGGACATGTATTCAGTCCGGTTCAATTTCAAACAGACCATTTAGCGTCGCCGCTGGGTACAGAACAGGGCAACGAACAAGAAGAAAGAACTTTAGAGACAGTTCAGAGAAAGAGTTTGTCGACAGCATTGAAAGCCATATTCAGTGGTTCACTAAATTCTCTCTTTGGCCCTAATGATGTAAGTATTTGGTTTCTGTATTTCAACTTCCACTAATTATTGTGGGTTCTACCGCGCTTACAATTTTAAGTAATGAATTGGAAGTTTTTAGGCATTTAGATTTGTTTATCACGCATGGTCATAAATTTCAGGTTCAATAGGCAATGGATTGGTGTTGAAATTTGTTACGTGCACACTATTCGGGAAATTTGTGAAGCAGGGGAGTGGAAACCTGGTTGGTTCACTTCGAGGAACCTGAGAGGTCAAGCAAAGTTCAATACAATATTTAACATACATTTTTCATAGATCTAAAGCTTTAAATACAAGATGATAAAAACTACTTCGGTAACTATCCTAACCTATTTCTCCATTATCTAATTAACTACCTACAAAAACTATATTACTCATTTACTAAAATAACTTCCTAATAACTATCTCTGATGTTACATAAAAATTTGCACATAACATTTCATTCCCCTTTTAAAATGACCTTGTCCTCAAGGTCACATTTTATAAATTAAAAATTCACTTGCGATCCCATATTTTTGTGGAAGAAATAACCAAAATTAGAATAACACGAAATCCCAAATTATGAACATCAAGGAATTGTGTGGTCTCCATAGAAGTAGAGCCTGGTGTTTCCTCACTTCTTGAAACAATATGGTTGCTAGTTGGCTTCACATATCGACAATGACATTGAATGGTAACCTTTTGATCCAATAAGGTGTTATCACCATTGACATCATCTTTGTCATCCATATAAAAATTAATATTTTCAGTGCCTTCATTTCTTCCAAAATAGTGACGATTTCCTCGCATGCTCCTGCATTTACCAACTTGAAGTCAAATTCTTTTTTGTTTAATCAGTTTGAGCCGTCTTGAGTTGTCGATAGACTCGATACCATAACTGCATGTCCCCTCCTTTATTGTGTGCTGCCAATTGATCCCTCCAATCAATGGCAGTTTGGTTGAATTTTTCTGCTTGACAAATCGAAGTGACGGGACCTCCCTTGCTATCATATCGCGGGAAATGCAACTTTGCAATTTACAGGGTTATGAAGTTTTCATTGCACTTAGATTGACCGGCCTCCAGTTGATCAAAGTGTGAGTTCATGGACTGAAACAAGTCATGCAACTTCTTCATTATCTTTTGTTGTCTGATTCTTAGTGGACGAAATTTTGCTTTAAGACGGCTAACTCGGTCCTCCATGTCTGGTTCTGATACTAATTGTTATGTGCACACTTTTCGGGAGATTTGTAAAACAAAATGAAAATGGAGTTGAAAGGAAGAAAACTCACTTCGAGGGGATGGAAACCTCTGTTGGCTTACTTCGAAGGGAACCCATTTCCCAAGCCTTTCACAAGAAATTTCAATACAATATCTAACATACATTTTTCACAGATCCAAGGGCTTTAAATATGAGATGATAAAAACTACTTTGGTAACTGCTTAATCCATTACTCCATTATTTAATTAACTACCTGAAAAACTACTTACAAATACTCTATCCAAACTCATTTATGAAAATAATTTTGTAATAACTACCTCTAATATTATATAAAAATATATAAAAATGTGCACATAACAAATTTTTTGGCTTGATCTTAGAGGCAGGGCCAAGATTTCTAATATTTGGTGACAATTACTACTGCTGTTGGACAAGCTCAATTTCATACTAAATCAGTTTTTTGTCTAGGTTGAATATGTTGAAACTACGTGGGCCTTATTCATGGGGTTTTGCAGGTCTTGCTCATACCTAGTGGTACTGAGTGAAATTCACGGTGGACAATCGAACTAAACTAAGATCAATTGTCAAAAATCTGAACTGAAATGACCCGGACTCCTATGTAGAGTAGAAGATACAATATAGGTTTGATCGGGGCTATATCATTTCCATAGTCTTTTGTTTTTTTGGAGGGGGGGGGGGAATCTATGGCTTTTCGAAATTTAACATTAATGGACAATTTTTAGATACTTTTTTTTTTGGGGGGGGGGGGAGATGACTCCCTTGTTGTAAGGTGGCTTAGCAGCTGAGTGATTGGTTGGCTTCAAGCTGTCTAATTTGATCCTTTCTTCTTGTAAGTACATCTGTTTATATATTTACGGAAATCGGTGTGTGAATTAGATGGTTGAAAAATTCAATATTAGTTGGTTCATTGTTTCTACACAGAAAATCTAGTGAAGAGTTTAGGGTCTCTTTGAAAATAAAAATACAAAGAGAAGGCATTTTGTCCATGCATAATTCCTAATGTTTAGTTAGAGGACTTTAGTTGCAGAATTTTTTTTAAAGCATAGAACAAAACTTAAAGTAATTATTTGGATGATGGCGCTCATATTGGGAGGCGTAGGCTTTAAGCCATGAACAAACTTTGCATACATTTGAGGACAAACGAAGTTAAGGCATTAGATAACAAGAAGCTTGGCAAGATGTGCATTGCAAATCCTATAACTTGGTTGAAAGATTATATTCGAGACCATCAATGTGTATTTATTGAGAGGAAAGAGGCTTTATTAGATCTATTTTGTGCTGCATGCAAACCGGATATTGACAAGTTTGATTGTTTCACAATCACTCCCTTGCATTCTGGATTCATGCAATATGAAAAATTGATAATCTGTTGCGTGTAGTTGAATTTGCATTGGTTTGTGTTCTGATTGTTATACAAACTAATGAATGTCAGTGGTGAAGAGAATGTAAAAAATGGCAAGAATAGAACATGAGAACTTGGGAAGCTCAAAGCTGACCTATTATTACTTTCCCCTGTCCCTACCCAGTAGACTGTTATGTCGTGCGGTCTAAATCTTTTAAGTGCCAGCCATGTTTATATCCTTCCTCAGGGTTTCTTTTAATGGTCTTACTTTTAAATTTTCATTTGTAGGATGTGACTCATGGAAAATCATGTATACCTAGTCATCCTCTCCTGTCTAAATCTGAACAACAAACAATTTATTTCAAAGTCATTTTTAATGGAGTTATGCGACTTTTGATGTTTTTAGATTAGACCGTACCTCTAGAACTTCACTCTGAATTTTACTAAAGGTACTATTGTAATGTAAGCCTTCCGCCTTGATCCACTTGGGTGCTGTCTTACATGGCCTGGGTTTGAGTGCCAACTATCCAGATGCCTCAAGTATATCTTTGCCCCATGGAACATGTGGCAGCATCAAATTTATTACTTAGCCCATTTTTTTATCAACTTGTCTGGAGGCGGTAATTACACATTTTTGTTCGCAGACTTGCACTTGCACTTGCATGTCAAACACGAGTGGAACAGTTATCTTTGAACATTCCTAATTGGATAAGTTGAATGCACTAACTTGAAATTAACATGATTATGTTTATGTTATCAGTAATAAAACATTGGAACTTGTTAGTGCGAAAATTTGCGTGTTCAGATGCATAATAATTTCTTTATCTGGCCAAAAATCTTGTAGGTAAAACTGTTACCAAAGGTTGATCTTCACAGTCTAAGTTGGCACCAACATAAGAATATTTTAGCATTTATCTCTGGGCCCCATCATGTAACGATTCGTGATTATGAGGATTCAGGTCAGTAACTTATCATGAGCGGTGTATCTGCTTCTCTCTGGCTACTTGGTTCGCTGTATTGTTCGTCACTCCTTACCTTTATATGTCTTCCAAATGCAATCAAAGGCGAATTGAGACCTTTTTATTTTTATCAGATGGCAAGGATCCTTGTGTTTTGATAAACGACTCCCAAAGAGACGTTAAACTTCTGGAGTGGCGGCCAAATGGCGGGAAAACACTTTCTGTAGCATGCAAGTTAGTATTCTTTACTGAGACATATTCATCATTTATTTAGCTGGTAAAAACGTGGTATGGTATGATGGTAGCTTTACTAATTTCTTTTTTATTTAATTCATATGGGGTATATAACTTGAATTGAATAGGGGTGGAATTTGCATTTGGGCTGCTTCTTATCCGGGAAATGCAGCATCTGTGAGATCTGGAGTTACCCTGGGCACCCTCTCAAGAGGTTCCGGAACTCGATGGGTTCTAGTGGACTTTCTTCGATGTCCTGATGATAAACAAATTAGTGCACTCTCATGGAGTCCTGATGGAAGATATCCAAACTAGCTTTAATTTGTTATCAATATTTGAAACATGAATTATTGGTTATGAAATATGATCATTTTCGGTCACATGTCTTGCAGCTGCCGGTCCTATTCTACATCATTTTTATTTTTTATGCATATTGTTGTCCCTAGTGAATATTTTAACTCCTTTTAATGTTCTCATCATCAGGGCTTGTTTGGGACTGCTTTGGCTAACCATTTATATGTATTGGAAAATATGCCATTTAATGTAGTTTCCTTTTAAGCTAAAGGGCAGTCCAGTGTACCAGGGTCCGCTACTCTGGGGTCTGCAAAAAAGTAGTATATTCTGTACCTGAATTTTTCTGAAACCTTGGATTTCAGCATTTGGAAGAATCAACCAGCAGCTTTTCAAATTTTTTTTTCTAACTCTTGCCTATGATCTTTTCTTGACTTATCTTCACGTATTTGGCATCTGCCTCATATGAGAGCTCGTCATTCACAATCTGGGATGTTGCCCAAGGTATATCATTTTACCTGCTAATTTGTACCAGCATCAGCATTTGTATTTTGTCGGTCCTTTAATAAGGCAACAGATTTTCCTGTTGTGCTTTTAACTTGATTCAGAACAGGCCAGATCATAGGAAACAATAATTGATAAACATTTTTTTTTCCTCTATTTGTTTGAATTAATTTTCTCTGGTTCTTCTCTCTTTAAAGTAAAGTAAATATTATATGCTTCCTATGTTATCCTGATGAAAATTTTGTTTTTGGCTATAATGAAATAGTGCCCTTTCACTTCCCTCGTTGGACTTGAACTAGTTTATCTGACTAATCGCTAATCCTTTTGGTTGGGCCTAGATGCCTCGACATACCTGGAACCTGAGTCATACGCAAAATCAGAGTTTTTTTTTTGTTATTTGATGATCACAGTAGACATGCAAATGTTATTCCTTATTGCTAGAAGAAGATACAACATGGGCATTGGAAGAGAATCAAACAAATTATTTTTGGCCTGTTGAAGACTAGTCCCTATAAGGACTTCAAGGCTCTGTTGTTCTTAAATACATCAATGATAGTTGTAGATACCAAATAATCACTAGTATCATAAGAAAAAGTGTGCAAGGAAGTCACTGGTTTGGTGGTTAAAATTTTTCCCAATAACCTCAGAGGTTGTAGGTACGAATTTGTGGGCACTTATTTGGGCCAATAATGTCAAAGGCTAGATCTTATACCCCCATTCATGGAACTAATCTGGTAGCTTTTTAAGAAAACGTGTACAATGAGTATTTGGCTTACGTGTTGGAGGAGGAAGCTTCAAGTCATGAAATGTAAGCCCTTTTGAATTTTTTTGCTGAAGTTTATTAAAATTAAAATAGAGGGTGAAGTGTTGAAGACGATAGCATAAGGCAGAGTGTCTTCTTTCCTTCAATGTAGGCATGAATCTTGTGTCATGTGACTAACGCCTTTTTGGTTTTTATTTTATATTTTAAATGCTCCAAAAATATAGTAGAATATAGAATTAATATTTAATAGATAGCATATAAAGGGTCAACTTGTAAACTTGCTTAAGAAAATCATGGATGTAATTTTTAACTTAAAACAAAAGTCTTAAGTTTTTTTTGATGAATATAATGAAGATTGTAAATTGAAATAACAAACTATTGGTTCACTCAAGAGTTGCAGTTGAATATGAGAAAATGCACATTATATGTGTGTGGTTATAGAATTTTGATAATGTATTATATACGAGATTTATACCTTGAGCCTAGCAAGAACTTAATTTTAGAGTCTCTAGGAGTTTTAAGGCTGCCTCTGGAATCAAACCTTATTATAGTTTTCTAAAATTATGACTGTAATTGGTCAACTTATATTTTTGTTGTTTTTATAATTAGTTCTGCAAATCTCTTTTTCTAATTCTAATTGGTGTATCTACATTTATATTTTTTACAGGGCTGGGTACGCCAATTCGACGGGGCCTAGGGGGCATATCAATGCTTAAGTGGTCTCCCACTGGAGATTATTTTTTCACAGCGAAATTGTATTGCTATTTGCTAGAACTACTCAAATTGTTTATGAATATATCATCTTTATGAAGCATATCCCAGTTCATGATACACTGTGCTGATCTTGTGTACTTCCACAGTGATGGTACATTTTATCTTTGGGAGACAAACACATGGACATCAGAACCATGGTCCTCAACAAGCGGCTTTGTCACGGTTAGTAAAAATGAAATTATGTTTCCATCGTTGGACTTTAGATTTATGTCCGATAGAAATCAATGTCATATTTGAGTTGGAGAAGTGGTGATATTTTGTGTTTCTCTTAGTTATTTTGTTTAATTAGTTTAGTGATTAGGTTGTTGTTGATAATGCATTAAATGGTGGCATTTACTTGGTTTTGGAGGTATCTTTTGGAGCAAAAAGTTCTCTGGATGACAATATGTTGTTAGTACAATTTTTTTTGGATTGTGTATGATGATTTGTGCTCTGTCGAAGTTAGCTGTAGGGACAAGATGGGCTTGCCATAATATGTAGCCCATTAGAGTTAGCTGAAGCTCCTATGATGGAAGCTTGCATATCAAAGATCAAGGACCATATTGCCCAGTTTGAGGATTTCTGCGCAATGCAGATCCCTCGGACCAAAAACTCTCATGTTGCCTTGTTAGAATGCTTGGCGTTGACTTTGATGACGACGTTCCTAGGGTGATTCCAGTGGAGCTCCTCCCAAGTCACAGCACAGAAGAGGGAAGGCTTGAAGTAACTACAACTCAGCAAGGTGACGGTTGGACTCAACCCACTCATCCAATATCTGGAGTATGGGATTCTCCCTTCGGGAAAGACTGAAGCTCAAAGAATTTGTCAAAGAGCTAGTAGGTATGCTATAATCAAAGGAGTTTTATATAAAAAAGGTTTCTCTTACCATACCTATGCTGCCAGGAATTGGGAGAAGCAGATTATGTTGTCTGCGAAATCTATGAAAGGATTGGTGGCAATCATTTTTGGAGGTAGAGCTCTGGCTTATAAAACCATACGCCAAGGATATCACTAACCTACAATGCAGAAGGACGCCTTTAGGGGTTACCACAAGCTGCGATAAATGTCAGATGTTCATTAATGTATCTAAAAATCCACCACAGGAGCTCATGTTTGTCTCCAACCCTTGGCCTTTTGCACAATAGGGACTCGATATAGTTGGACCTTTGCCCTTAGGAAAGGGGCAGAACAAGTTTGAGGTTGTGGCCATTGATTACTTTACTAAATGGTCAGAAGCAAAACCGCTAGCAACAATTACTGAGCAAAGCTTAAGAGGTTTCATATGGATGTCCATAATTTGGCGATTTGGAATCCTAAGTGTCTTGGGAACAGAAATTGAAGGCAATTTGACAGCCAGCTTTTCTGGGAATTCTGCGCTCGGCTAGGGATTTGGAACTACTATTCTTCTACTCTACACCCCTAGGCCAATGGACAAGCTGAGTTATAATCATAACATTGCTCAAGAATCTCAAGACAAGGTTGGAGTCTTCAAAGGACTATGGGTAGAGGAGCTTCCAAGTATCCTATGGGCTTACGGAACTATAGTAAGATCTTCAACTGGGGAGACATTCTTCTCCTTAACCTTTGAAACAAAGGTAGTGATTCCAGTTTAGATTGGACTGGAGACGTACCAGGTCCAACTCTTTGATGGAGATAGAAATGAAAAGCAGTTCTGGCTCAATCTGGATCTACTAGGAGAGGAGAGGAGAGGAGAGAGTTTACTCAGATAAGAATAGCTACCTACCATAATCAAGTAGCTCAGTACTACAACAAATGGTTAAGACTGGAACTTTTTTTTAACGAAACTTGGTCCTCAAAAAGATAACACCAGCCACCTTCGTTAAAAGGATGTTCCATTGAACAAATTTCATACTTTGTGGCATTTGAGGATGATTATTCTCGTCTGACATGGTTTGATGAATGCTCGCTCAAAATTGCTTTCCATTTCAAACCTTACGTAAAGAAATCAAAACTCAATTTGGTTGTGAATTTGTGTTTCGCGGAGTGATATTTTAGAGAATATGGCTCTAACCCCTTGCCACTTATTTTTGTGAAAAATCTATTGTTTAGTTACCCTCTTGTGTTCACACCACACAATAGAAAACCCCTATCTCTTATGCATGCTCCTAAACCTTTTTGGAGTGATACTGTTTTTATTGTTTTGCCATCTTATCAACCATATGCCTACTGGGCATTACATGGGCAATCTCCCCATTCGGTTCTTATCCTAGAGTCTCCCTTAGCTTCTGTTCCTCCTAAGATCTTTGGTTGCTTTTGTTTTCTTCATAATTTGGCTCCCAACTTTGATAAACTTGATTCTTGTGCTACAAAGTGTTTTCCTTGGTTATTTCGCACCCATAAAGGTTATCATTGTTACAATCCTACGTTTCGAGGCTATTTCATAGTGTTGATGTCACCTTTTGCGAGTCTATACAATATTTGTTGATTGTCACCCTTATCTTGACTTTGGGTTTTACTCGATCATTGATTTTGCCTCCTATTCCATTACCCTAATGTTAGATATTGAGCATAGTTACCACAATTCACTAAATCCTTAACGACCCACGATCTGGGTACATCGATCCCAAATGAGGTGGGTTCGCGATCTAGATCATCAAAATGGATGACCTCAAATTGTAATATTAATCTAAATCAATTTGCTTTAGAACATGTAGCACAAATATAAAATGCATATTAATTGACTACACGAATGTAGATTTATAATTATATATTGTTTTAGATAATAGAAAATTAAATACAATTATAAGATAAATGGTAACTAACTTAGTGTTTATGAATGTTTTATAATATATAATGTTGTATAGTAGTGAAAACGATCTACATAAGGTTTCAAAACGAATTTCAACCTAAAATTCCGTACCGCGTACCTAAGAAAGTGTCGTACCATGTACCCGTACTCATACCACGTACTAAAGCGATCCACGATCCTGGTACCATTGATATTGAAGACTATAGAAGTCATAGAGAGATTAGAGAAAACATTTTTTTTTTTTGTAAGATTAGGATGTTGGAGGTGAAGGAGGAATTAAAGAAAATGAAGGCGGGAAAAACTTTGAGACATGATGGTAGTATATCTATTCAGGCTTGAAAGTGTCTAGGAAATATTGGGGTATCATGGTAAGCCAAATTATTTAATAAAATAATAATGACCAAGAAAATGGCTGATGAGTTGAAGAAGAGTATTTTAGTACGTATATATGAACTATATCGTGCACACGTGCGTTGCACATGGACTTTTTGAGCTATAGTTTTGCTTTTGAAATAATTAAATAAATATAATAGCAAATGCCTACTTATACATCTAACCATTTGAATATTCCTATTTTATAATTTGTAATGGACATAACGCTACATATTTGCGGAACTAATATTAGTTTTTATTGTTTTATTTTCTCTTAAGTTGAATTTGTAATGGATGTAATGCTGCATATTTGCAGAACGAATATTAGTTTTTATTGTTTTATTTTCTCTTAAGTTTTGATGAGTTACCTTCTTCTAAACCAGTACCCTTTAAGTTTAGAACTTTTTACATGAACTTAATTGTTTAGATTAATTTTATTTACAACATCATAGTAATGGTACAAATATATTTTATAGTATGCGGGTATATATAAATAAAAAGTATCGCAAACACTTATTAAATTGTGAAAAACACAGAAGTGAACTATTTGAAGTTATGGTGATCATTTAATTATAAACAATTGGTTGAGCAAATTTAAAAAGTTAAGTTCTGATAAGTAATTTAATATGAGACTAAATATATTCGTAGCATTGCTAATCGATACAAACAAAATGGTTTCTAGTATTGCCAATAAACATAACTAAAAAGGATTTATTAAAACTAAAATATAAAAGAGAAGAAAATAAAAAGTTAGGGTTTGATAATCTTATTCAAATTATATTAAAATAAATCTTATATTAAATAAGACTCTAGTGCATTTATTCAATTTTGTTTGAAAATTCAGAAACTTGTCATCAACTAATGAAAATAGATAGATATAAATAAAAATAAATTTAATTATTTTAACAATTAATTTTTGTCTTTTAAAAGAAAGAATATGAAAAGGCTTGGATATGTGTAATATTAATGAAGTTTTATTAATATGAGTTCCATATTAATAATGTTAGTATTGTGAGAATAAAGTTGTCCAATTAAAAGTTTAACATCAATCAAGTCTTATTAATATGAGTTCTAAATTAAATAAGGTTAGAACTGTCTTTATATATTGTTTTTGGGTTAAAGTAGTCAATCAAAATTTTTTTTTGATAGTGTACTTTTATTAGTCGTATAGATAAGGGAGACATATAAAGTTGTACAAACTATCGTGGTATTAAACTAATGAGTCATATAATAAAATTTTGAAAGAGAGTGATCGAGCAAAGATTAAGGTTTTAAACATCGGTTTTTGAAAATCAATTTAGACTTATGTCAGGGAGATCAACAATAGAAGCTATATACTTTGAAGACTAATGATGAGGTATAGGGAGAAGAATAAGGACCTTCATATGGATTTTCTAGACTCAAGAGAGGATATACGATAAAGTTCTTAGGGACACATTTCGAAAGGTTCTAGAGAAGAAAAATATTACTGTTACATATATTGATGTGATTAAAGACATATGTAGTGACTTTAGTAAGTACAGTGACAGAAGATACAAATGCATTCCCAATTACTCTAGGCTTGCATCGGGCGTTTTGTTATGAGTCCAAAGTAGATTGATGTTAACTACTAATTTGTTCGGGCTAAGATACTAAGTGGAAATATTGTGACTTCATTTATGAAGTTTGAGGATCAACTTGAAGATATGTTTACTAAAACCTTGAGTCGCACTCGTTTAATAGTTGTTGGTTCTAAGTTTGGATCATAACATATATAGTCGGTGTTAGCATTAGTAATATTGTATACTTCCTAATGTTGTAAGATGTGTATCCATGTATGGCTATACTCGTCTTTTGTGTTATTAGCACTTCTTTCCTCCTCTTACACAATTCTTTAATCCTCTATCCATCAATGAGGCAAAACTTATACACCAAATACTATTAAAATTGTTCTATTAATGTGGGCCTGACAATAATTACCAAAACCACTCCCTACCCCAAATGGAGAGAAGAAAGCAAGCATCTTGTACCTCTATTCCAACTATTTGTTGCTAGTATGCGTTTTTATGATCAAGCAGAAGTAGTTGTTCCAAGATTGATGGAATACACACCAACTTTCATTATGCCTTAGGAACATTAGCCTCATGTGAGGGAGGGTGCAAAAAGAGATCTTGTATCCCACGTCGAATGGTTAGAACTACCCAAGTTGGTTTATATAATTGAGAGGCCATTCCATTTATCTCCAATTGATTTTGGGTTGAATGACTTGAGAAAGCCAACCCACCACTACACCCACCCTTGGAAAGACCATCAAGAAGGATCACCTTGAGTAAGACGACTCTCTGTTTAAGTGTTTGGTTCTCCAGTTGAGTGATTTGTAGAATTAAGACAACAGAAAGGGACTTTTATATGAAGAATCTCTAAGTGGCACGATTTTTGTCTAAAAGTGTTTTTCGAATCTTTTTTTTTTTTTTAAAGCGTGAGTTTGAAACACGTGTGTTTCCTAAATACGCTTGAAACCATAGTTGTTAGTATCGTATGATACGTCACGA